TTAATTGTCACTGCCTGCTTAACTGGCTAACATTGGTCATCAATACAGAGCTTTTTCCTTTCAATTTCCAAGAGTGAGGTGTAGGAAAGAAAAAAAAAGGAATTTTAAAATAAACAGAACAGTATTTATTTCCCAATATAAACAAAAATACTATTTGGATTGGAGGAGCATGAGGGAGGAGTAAGAGAGGATTAATGTGCTGGCTGTTCCCCACTGGGGCCACCAATAACAATCAATCCCAAACAGCAGTCACCTCACATCATCTAACAGCTTGAATCGCAGATATTCAAAGATTCTCTCTCCCTTTTTTTTTGTTCAGATTAAATATCATTTACATTGCATCCTTTTTTTTTTTTTTTATTTCATCGGAGACATAAGGTCAGAATTGATTGAATATGTACTACCTGCATATAATGATTTCCAGTTTTTTACAATCATGTGCTAATGCTGCACAGTAATGGCCTATGGATGAAGAGACAGATGTACTACCAGTCATTCGCTACACATTTGCATTAACAAATCATCATTTAATTGAAGCCCATCCAACAAGTTTATGCTACTTAAATAAAGTTCCTTTTCATAAAAGATGCCACAATGACACATGGTTGTTAACTGCAAGGTAAATAAAAAGTAGTATTTATTTTCTTGTCACTAGTTTAGGTAAGTATTAAAATGTACACTTATTAATTTGTATTTTGCTCAGAAATAAACCACTTGACATCTAACATAGCAATCCAAGCTAGTACTTCTATGAGACGAGATAATTCACTTTTAGAAATAATCGTTTTGTAACACCACAATTTCATGCTTAACAGATTTTTATTTTCCCCCAAAATATATAATAGAGCATAGCTTATATAAAGGCTATACATGAGTTGTGTGTTAATACTTTTAGGCAAGCTCTAATAATACAAACCTCAAACCCTGCTGTTATCAACATGGGCTACAGTTTTTTTAATGTTTCATTGTTGACTACAAACATTGGCACCACACTTAGAGATCTAGTTGCCTCCCTCTACAATTTAGATATTACTGCTTTCTTTTTAATGCTGTCTAGGGAACAATTCAGGTAGGTTGTGATGCCCCTACATGTTTCAGATATAGAAAACTACTATCTATTCATTTCTTCTTTCAGAACATGTTGCAAAATATTAAAATCTGAGAAGAAAGGATGTCATAAAATGAGGAACCTATAAAACCAATTTTCTCTTCTTCTAGAGATGGTTTAACAGTACTTTCAGCATATGCATTTCATGGTACATTTTTGCATCTGCAAAGCAAAAGTAAGGTATTTTGGTACTGTCTGCTAAACTGACAAACAATACTTTGAAGCTAACATGCAGGGACAAGGAGATATATTTTTAATTGTGTTTTTGGCTTAAATCTCCATTTTCTAGAAACCAGAATCTTTTAGGATGAAAGCACTATATAAATGAAAGATGGTATTAGTAATAATAGTTGACATCCTTTACTACGCTGGTATTGGCTTATATTTAAACACATCATTGAAATCTTTCATTTACCTAAATACAAAAATAATCAGCTATTTCTTTTTTCCTGAGGATACACTGAAAATAAAATATTTATTAAAAAAAAAAAACAAAACAAAAACTAGACAATTCATTCAGAGTGGAAGAAGGCAGTGTTTTTCTAACCAGAGAAAATAGACTGTAAAGATGATCAGATACAATTTCCTTCCCTTCAGGACTGTGTGGGGATATGAGGAGACAGGGGAGTCTCCAGGTTGACCTTTTGTTGCTGTTATTGATGACTGAAAACACAGGAGAAAATCTCACCATACCAAGACTGAAATTACAATGTGAAATTTAGAAATATATCTTAAACCGCACTGCAGTATTCAAGAAGAGATAAAATCTAAGATTTATTTCCACAGACAAGAAGCAGTGTATAAAAGCTACAAAATGCAAAATGCAATCCCATACAAAATAAACAGACATACAAAAAAAAACCCAACAAAACCCTACCGTGATTTGCCTGCGTGCTCTCCAAGCTTTTTTTATATGCTAACTCAGAACAGTAATTACAGATCTTGCAAGTTGACTTCTGTTTTCCAGAACTATGAGTTGTACGTAAAACATGTCTTTTCATTGAAACAATTACCATTAATCAAAACAGTGAAAGCTAATACCACTCAAGTCCAACCTACTGCTGTGCCCAGCAATATATCAAACTGTCTGTTGTCAAACACACTGAACAAACTTCAACAGACTGTTTTCACTACAAATAAGAGAAAACATGCTTGCTAAGTATTTTTTAGTCAAATTGCAACTTCAGTAATCCATTCTGTCACTGGATTTTAATTTGAAGTAGTCAATCACAGTCTCAGGCAGATCTGTATTTTGACTACAGAGAGGTAACTCACTGGGACTAACAAATGAGTACCTGCAAATGACTACTATAGCCCCAAATTTGTTTAAGGATTTATATGTATGTACTCAGGTTTGCTCCTGTACTCCATTGACGTTTTTCAGCTATGAGACTCTGAATTTAAAGGAAAGAAGAAAAATTAAAACTACTTTTCACCGTAACAGACCTAGGACACTTACACTTCTAAAAAGTTTAATAATACTGCATATTCTTCCACATTTGTAACTGCTTAAACTATTACTTGCACTTAAAAAAAGTATTACAAAGAAGCTGCTACCTTGGAATTTGTTCATGCATTAACAAGAACATATCTCCAGAAAGCCAAATTCATATTAAACACAGATCTCATCCACAATGACATATTATAGTCAATAAAAATAGAAATACTTACACTTCTCATGGCACCTCCCCTGCCCTACCTAAGAGTCATAACCATTTTCTTAATAAAGAAATACAGCATTTGGTATCTGACAGAAAAAAACTGTTTACCAGTGAAGTCAGTCTTTTTTGCAATAGGTAATCAATGCAGAAACGGAAGTTTTATATAAAAGATACAGAAGGACAGGAATATTGGAGTTTAACAAACAGATCAGGCCTTTATTACTAGCAAGCTCCATTATGGATTTGTGAGCTTTGTAAGCCAAGCTCCCCCAAGTGTAATTAAATTTTTATTTATAATGTGTTTGTGAATGTTAACTTCGTGTTGCCTCTGCTTGTTCCCCCCACAAACCCAATGCGAAATAGTATTCCACATTTACTGCCGCAGAGCGTGGCACTTTATCCAGTTGCTGAATTCATCTCTAGCCTTATAAGAGATGATAAGTACAAATACACATATTGTGTATTATTTATACACAAACACCCGTGTCTTTAAGCATAGATATATTCACACTCCTGCACGCAGACGCTCTGAGCCAAAACTGAGGACAAAAGAAGTACATGTCAGTTAAAATTGAACACGTGAGCTAGCATCACTTTTTTCTACCAAGAGCACTATTTATCACATATTTATATTGTGGAGAGACAGAAAAGCTTCAGTAAGAGAGGGCAATGCAGCACTGCAGAGTACATTTCATGCTTCAAGCCATGCCTGAGCTTAGTGTAAATGTACCAGGAAAAGGTTCTAAACTCCAACAAAGCCAGCATCTACGCTTCATTTTTTTGTTCATTTATGAAGAGGACTTCATGAAAAAGCCTTCTGACTCCAAGAATATGTTCTGTATTTTTTGTGTTAACTCTATTCCCTCTTTCATTCAGGTATTACCCTCTGGTACCAATACTTACATTAAAAAAAAAAAAAAAGCTTAATATAAGTAACCACAGGAGGATCTCTTCTCCCCTTGAAAAACTGCAAATAAAGATGTCAGCTATTGAGTATATTTGTGGCATCTCCAGCAGCTGCTGTTAAATACCAGCTGGTCTAGCTGATTAAAATTACCTCCGAGTTGGTATTATAAAGATGCCTGGGCAGCGTTGCTGTATTAATGGATTATTGAGTGAGCGATGAAAACCTTGGCCAGCTGATGCGTTTTATTACACATAGGCTTTATGATGTGTAATCACTGTAATTTTTATAACTAGAGGAAATAGGAAAAAAAAGAAGAACCTTCTTTCCTCCCTTACTCATACCAGAATCAGTTAAACCAGATCCTTTTTTTTGTGGGTTTTTTTTTTTTTTTTTTTTTTTTTGTTTCCCCAGTCTCTTTCTTAGGAGTTAGCTAAACAATTTGGGGTTTAATAGTTTCTGCATATGTAAGACTTTATCCACTTTTATCCTATGTGTAGGTCACATACAGGAAGAATGAGAAACTCTATGTTTAAAGCTGTATGTATCTATTTTACATATGTTTGGGTTTACACATTTGGTATTTATTTCATTCTTTGACTACCAGGCCAGAGCTGCAACTGGCAATATGAAATAAACCCTTGTGCATTATTTAACGACTGAACTACAATGCAAACATGCCTTATAGTCTCTGGTTCAGCAATTCAAGTAGTAAGGTCTTACATCTGGTCTCTCCATCTCCTCTCACATTCTCCTCCCCTTCCTGCCTCAGACCTTCCACACAGGATGTCCTATACTGGTCTCTCAAACTTTTTCCCCCCTTACTAACCACACATTACCACATTCTCTTGTTTTCAGTTGGTAGTCTGGTTTGTTCCCAAGCTTACTGTGCTAATTACAAAAATCATGTTATTGTTACCGTTTTTTGAGACTTAAGAAAGAATAAATGACTTGTAAAGATTCAGATGTATTGGTGAAACATTTTATTACAGATGACTTCTCTTGTGAGGTGATTCAGCAGGCAACCCAAAGTCACCTCTGTCCAAATGCCATTTACTGAAAGCATCTCAAGAAAAAATTCTGTCACTTTTTCAGGAATGGACACATCCCAGAAGTCAGCTAAAAATATCTGAGTTTTTTTTCAGTGGAATAAGAACTGCTGAAATGTAAAAACAAAGTAAAATTATAAAATCTTTATCAGTAACCTTAACTTTAACCTCTTAAATCTCTCTATGCAGAAATGAACCGTTGCTCGTCTTTTCCTAGACTAGATAAAACACAACTGGGTATTATTCCAGCCCACAGAGCTGAAGTTTTGGGAGATACTACTGCATCATACACATTCGCCTGCAATCTCTATAGAGAATTTTTTTACTCAGGTTGGTGGAGTTTATGCGAAGTACTGCAGACTATTTAAACCATTTGTTAGAAGAAAAGGCTGCTCTAAGCCCAGCATTTAATAGATCAAAAGACAATTTAGATAAAAGATGCATCAAAAAATAGATCAAACATAATTTAATCAACAAGGCTGTTAAAGGCAAGGACTTTACAATGGACAGACTTTTTCAATTTAAAGGTGAGTCTAGAAGTAAGTTTTGTTCCACTCAAGAGTAAATCTAGGCACTTCATTTGTACCAGGAGAACCGAAGCTGGTTTAAGGTACAAATGTGTGTTTCCAAATCCAACACAATCCAAGTATGTGATGTACATCTCTGCTGAATCACCTGGCTGTTCTGAGACACTCCTGCACTGCCACAACTAGCTGTTGAAATGCTGCTAGTTGTCTGCAAAAGGAAGGAGGAAAGCATGTTTTACCAGGTAGGGATGAACTACTGGGTAAACAAGGGCCTTTCCACTCTTCCTAATGTCACCATCTTCTTCCTGAACAGGGGTAAGGGAAATGGGCAAAGCCATCAGGGCAGGCCAAGGAGGAACACGCAAGGTGAAACTTCACCAAGCAATGAAGCCCCACAGCTCCCCGCAGTATGTAATAATGGCTGTGCTAGCCCGAAATACCTCAGCTTACAGCCTTGCTAAGTGCAGACGGCAGAAGCCATAGTGGGCTGCTCAGAAGTGTTGCCATCCGGCACCTGTTATGTCTCCATCTTATGTCTGGAGCCCAAGTGGCTCCTGCAGTCACAAACCTAATTCAGGAGGGAGGTGCGTTTTCATATTTGCTCCAGTAAAAAACAAATAAATAAAAATTAAAACAACGGTGGTTTTGCTTCGGTAAAAACCCCCACAGTTCCTATTTCCTGAAGCCAGGTAACTTATATCCCTCTGGAGTCAACAACAGGGCTGCATTTAGCAGCCATGAGGGGAAAATAACCCATTTCATACTGCCTGCGACAGAGGCGCTCTGTCCCAACTGTTTTCTGTTCTTCCCTAGGGTGCACTAGATACGCTATTTTAGAAACATTCCCCTCGAGGCGCACTGTACAACCGGACGGCCCGGCAGGCCGCAGGCACTCCACTCGGGCTGCCTCCCTCACGCCGAGGCCCGGCCGCAGCCGCCGTTTCCTTGGAAACCACGGGCACGCCATGCGGGGGGCGGGGCTACGGCGGGGGCGAGACCGGGCCCGCCTCTGGACCAGCTTCCAGGCGGCGGCTGCAGGCGCACTAGAACACGGGTTCAAATCCCGCCCCCGGATGGGGGAAAGGAGGCCGCTCCGGCAGCGTGTTTTCCTCGCTTTTCCTTAATTTCTATTTTGAGTAATCCTCATGCGAATAAGCCATGAATCCGTCCTGCATCTCGTACCGCTGTCAGGTCTTGTGCCTGTTTGTATGATGAGACACATTTAATGTACAGCGCAGATGCAGCTCTCTTGGATCCAACTGGGGATGGGCTAAGTGGCAGCGAAGAATAAACAGTCCCATAGTCAGAAAAACATCTTACTGAAGATGAAGACATAGTTATAGTTGAGATATAGTGCAAACATGAAATACTCCAAGTTTCACCCAAAAGGACTACGTGAAGTAAGATTTAAATCAATGTCCCCCGTGGGGATTCACACAAAGATAGCCAACTGGAAGCACGGAACAAGTAAATTATCTGAGAACGAAAAATTAAAGGGAGGCAATTCGCTAAATGCTAAATTTATTACAATATGCTAAACAAATATCTTTGCATTTGTAGTAAATACATATACATTGATATGCTCTGAATTAATGGTCAATTTAACATGCATGCTAAATTTTACGCAAAACAAGATTCTTAATTCACTTGGGTTAATAAACATAAAATTCTGATAATTACAGATACAATAATGTCATATGAGCACTTTAAACATATGCTATGGGAATTAAATCCTGGCTATTCCTGCCCACTGAGGACCAGTTTTTAATCTTCGATGCATGATATGTAGTAATGGATTTTACGAGTTGACTTTTTTAAATTTGATGATCAGGTTAATGAAATTTATAATGGTATTTTTCACACCAAGTTCAAAATAGTAGTTAACTCCTTGGCAGAGGAATTCAGATTGGACATGTAATGGATGTACCAGCAACTGCTGGTGTGAAAGGATTAATCATCATTTTAGACTTTTATTGAATTAGATAAAATGGGATAGGCATGAATCAGAATATATAACAATTAATCACTGGGCTTTATTGAGTCTTTTAAAAATCTTATTTGCTCCTGAGTTGACAACTAATCTAGACCATTCTGTACCAGTTTGACAACCTCTCCAGATAATGACTGTGACTAGAACATTAATATCGGCATTTAACAACAAAATATTTATTTTCTGGGTGAATTAGGCTAAAGGTAATACGCATGACTTATTCACCCCAAAACCTTGTAATTCAGCTCATTCTTTGCTACTAAAATCTGCCTTTTTTATATATATATTTGCTTGTTTTTTGAAATTTATGTACCGGATACGGCAGTGTGCACTGCTGACTAGTTTTTGGTATATCCAAGTAGCATTTAATGTAAATTGTTACAGCTATACACACTGGAATTGCTAGAAAATAATAATACTAAAGTTTTGAAGTTTATTTATTGATCACTGAGAATCACCCCAGTTAAATGACCATAAACCTCAACATCACAACAACTACTAATCCAGCTAATAGGAATTAAGGGAGATGGAAGATACATAATAAGTATCTGGGGGATATGGTATTTATCTCATGAGTGTAGTAAAGAGCTCATAATTTACGAGTGCCAAAACCCAAGTGCATCATGAAGGTCTTTCCTCACAAGTGACATTAATTGCATATCCCACAGATGCTTATTACATATTCTATTTATACCTCCAAGAAGAAAAATATTCGTTTAAAGTTTAAAGTTTTAGTACTGCTTAAACGCAATGTAACACAGCTGTCTCATGATGTCACAGGGAATATCAAAGGCTGCAGCACAGAGTCATAATGTAAAAAGTAGTTTAGACAGAAGATAAATCAGGGAATGTGCTTCAGTGGGAGACTCCCAGAGCTCAGATATATAATAAAACAGGACGTGTAACTACGTACTTTGGCTGAACATGGGGTTTAGACCATTAAAAAAGTTTTTCTGATTACAGTTACTGAAATAGGAAAAAAAAAATTAAATCTATTTAAATTCTTTTAAACATTTTTTCAATATATGTAATGTAAAACAATACTAAAATATGAATTGCTAAGGTCAAAGATGCCATTATCTTTTATACTGTTCAGTCTATACAAATATAGAAGGGTCATCATTAATAATTAGATATTAAGCACATTGGCATGCTGCAAACTTTCTGTGGTAGATATTCTTTTCTTCTGTTGCCTGATTATTCTTTTGTGATTTCTCTTATAGGTAACACAATGAGGAGAATTCATTGATTCAAGATGTCCTGTATACTTCTAGTTAACTGCATGTACATTATTAGAAAAAAGCCCCAAACCTGATATTGCTGGCTTTGCATGTCATTCCCATGTGTATTTGTTAGAAGAAATAAGAGTAAACCACAAGGCCCAAGCTTAAACTCCAACTATTCACACAGCATTTATTGATATAAGGAATTTTAAGCACTGTTATAATATTTAATATTACACAGTTGTGCTGCTACACTGCACACTGGCTACCTGTCTAATTTTATCCAAAATATCAAAATACTTTTTAGAAATTGCTGTAAAGGTAATCAGAGAAAGTATGCTAACATGTCCTAATTTCAAATAAGGTGATCAGAAGAAAAGCAGATAATTAAAAATTACAAATTACATGAAGGTTTATGAAGAGAGATGCTCTCTTGTGGACCTTCTAAACTGATTTTATACTGGGTGATGCCATTTTTGTTCTCTGAAATTTGGGAAAAATTATTGTCCCATTCAATACTGAACAATACATTCAATACTGAACAAAGTCTAGGTGCATCCACTGCCTCTTTCCTTAATAACAGTGCTATCTGGAAACTCAAGGAAGTCATCAACAGCAGTTGATATCAAGCTGCAAATGGCATGTTAAGAGTGTTTTCAGAGGAATAAAATAGAAGAGCAGCACCCTTGGCTTTCTGTGAAAATTCAAGTGTGACTCATTCATTGATTTCAAAAGATGCATTTGAACCCAGCTCCTACTCTTGTCTGCTTTTGTTCTTTTTCACTAAGCAATTCTATCTTGCAGTGATGTGCACAGATTTTCTCTTTTTGCCAAAATGTGTAGGGCCTTCATGCTGAGTTAACCCTTTAGGGCCTCATGCTATTACATTAAGTATGAGGGGCGATGAAATGTTCTCACTATTTTTACATTATTAGTTTGGTAAAATAATTCTATTTTTAGAAATGTTTCTCAAACATAATTTCTCATTCTTTACTTAGACTAAAATATTGTGAATTCATACAATATGCAAAAGTTGCACACCCTAATTAACGGCACTGCTCTTGAGCAACCTATTCCTGTGACCTGTGTTAATGGATTTTATTCTTTGGATGTAGCTGGCTTGCTTTAATATTTCATAGGGTACTTTTAAAAATTCTTGCTCAAAACCACATCATAACCAGGAAAGATACTCAAGGCATTCACCTATTTGGAACAAGATTTCTTTTTTATTGCTGAAGCTCCTAAAACACTAGCAAGATGTTGGAAAGAGGTTCATGGGGTCATGGAGAACTCCTATCTAGCTCACTCATTTTAAAAGTTAGAATTGTCAGTTGCATTATTTTCAGGGCAGGCCCTTTTCCTATTGCAAGCACATCCAACTCAAGAATTCCTAATAAAACAACTGTCAAAGAAGACTCAGAACGTACAATCCAAATTATATAGGTTGTCTGCAGAATTCCCCACCTTTCCTCAATGCCCCCCTCTCTCTCTCTCCTCCCCCAACCCCTCACCTCCATCTAACATTTGGTTGGACCGAAGGGGACAGAGCACTATCCATAGTTGCAGAAATGGCTATCCAAGAACTATGCTCAGTATCTGATGTGGAAACAAGAGGTGGATTGACTTGACTACCTTGTGAACTACTACTTTTGCATGGAGAAAAAGCAAAAAGGGAAGCATTCTTACCAATGCTGACAGTACACAGCCTTTCATTTTCCAGATTAACTGCATTCTACTGGGCAGCCAGATGCCTTTAGAGAAAATGCAGACTGGCCGTATTCCTACAGAATTACTATTTCACTAATTTCAGCAACATTTTCATTAGGGATGAATTATGGTTTCAGGATATAATTTTCTGCTAAAATTGAGGACTGAGATGAAAATGACTCTGAAGAGCTAAATGATTAACATATCCTCCTAGGCTGAGGGAGAATCTGACTGAAGACTGTGCTATCCCTGAAGCTGACATCCCACAGTTCACTAACTGTTGCTGTTTTCTTGAACACAATTCCCTGCTACTCTTCTCCCCACACACAAAAATCCAAAATGGCCTAGTTTGCTCTGATATGGAATAACAACAAAGTATTAAAAACTTTGTTTTTTTTTTTTTGTTTTGAAATCTAACTCCTGTGTTACGAACAGGTCTACATTGTATACATATAAGTATTTCATGCTCATTTGTTTAAAGATTTCAACCAAATTCTCCTATCTGCACTACCCGTTTTCTCCCAGTTATGTTTAAAGACAATAGTGTAACTCTTACATTTTACATTTTAGGCACTAAATTGTGTTTAGCGTATCATTGCTCTTGTTGAGTATCCTTTTTGTATTCTAGCAGAGGCTCTTCTTTGTGCAGCTTTTTCACATGCATTGAGATGATGCAAAAGAACCAAGGAGATTTTAAGGGCAACCTGCTCTATTAGTCTTTTAAGGACTTAAGACAGGATGATCTTTCCCTGCTGGATGGTATACATGGTTCTCTTACTTTATTATCACTTTAAAGGTATGTCTTCACAGGAAAGTAAAGGGCAGGCCACTAACATATGTATGCATTCCCATACTAACCTTAATTAGATAGCCCAGTTAAGAATAAGCAGTAAGGATGAAGCAAAACATAAAATTATCCACAGGCCTGGATTCTATGGGAAATGCTTTGGTTCTTACTAAGTGGTTAAGTCCGAAGCTCTGTATTTTGTCTCCAAACATCATGTTAACATGGGCATGTTAGCACGGTTTCATTTTTGGGGCACATGCTGAGATAATTGCCTTCTGCAACAGTTACTTGACTGACTTAGTGCCTTTTCTGTACCAATTTCCAACATGAGTTTTCTAGACTAAGTTCTATGTCATTGAAAGAAACAAAATGATGCATGAAATTAAACAGTACTAGTTAACCTGAACAGCTGATGCAATTTAAATATAAAGAAAACAAAGAAGTAAATGCTTGATACATGGCACCTTAAATTCCTTACTGGCGT